AGACACACCTGTCAGCTCTCCTACCGTCTCATCTCTACTATAGGAGTCCCGTACAGACACACCTGTCAGCTCTCCTACCGTATTATCTCTACTATAGGAGTCCCCGCATTTATTGGAGCCTCGATCACCACCAGTACACGGCAGCCCCACAGAGGAAACTCTTTACAGTGGTCTGGGCACGTACACTCGTGGAACCCGCCCGTCCTCTCCGTGGACGTACAGGGTTTCCCTGCGAGAGCCGGGCGAGGCGGGTCCTGGACGCGCGAATCTCTCAGGCTGCGGAGGCGCCTATTCTCGCAGTATTACGGCTCTCGCTCCCAGCGGCGCCTCCAGTTCCTCCGCATTCCCGAGTCCCGGTTCCTCCGGTTCCGCTCCTTTCCTGTAAACTGCGCTCGGACCTGCGGACCGGAGCCTGCAGTCCTGCTGGAGCGGGTCAGAGCGCCGGCCCGGCCGCTCCGACTGTCAGGAGAAACTTCTGAACTCTTCTCTCTTCTCACGGTGTGTTGGTTTAGCGAGAAATTTTGTATTTTCGGTCCTGAAATCGGGAAATTGCTCGCAAGTCACGCTTTCAGGGTATAGGATCAGCTTCTGAAAGGTCATCGTACACCGGAGCCTGTTTAAAACATCTCCGTTTCTTTTAAACCGTTTAAACATCCCCGAACAATTTCTCTCTCCTGATCCGTGTGGCCTGGAATACAGCTTTGTGGAGAAACTCTCGAAAAACAGCACGATTGACTCTTTTTACACACGGAGTTTATTTATATATATACTTCCTCATTTCTGCGCAGGTAAATTAACAACGCTGAAGTGAGATGGAAGATGGACATTAATATTCATCTCGTATAGCGCCTTTAAAAGAGGCTTTTTATCGTGCTCTGCAGAGGAAGACTCCGCACCGAGAGGAAACAGCAGATTGACACAGGACCCGTGAAATTAAAGCTCTTTTATTGAGGAAGGTTTAGAGTCTGGATGTGAAAGACCTCAGGGAAGGAGACTCTGATGTCCTTGGTGATGTTTTTACCTGTTTCTCTAAATCCTAAATACTACTCCTTTCTTTTAAATTGTTTTTACACGTTTGTTCCCCAAAAGAGTATGTGTTTAATCAACATATAAAGTATTAGCTCTTCTAAATACTGAAACGTTTCAGAAAACACCGCCTCAGTGCTGCAGGTTCGCAGGGGAAGTGAGTTTAAAACGGAGTCTTTTTCAGTCTATTCGCAGTTAATCATTGTATTTAAGACACACTCGTGCGATTTGTCTCAGTTACTTTTAAAATTTCTGGATTTCCTCAGCCTTTCACCTGCAGCAGCTGATGGATTGACAGAGCCTGCCTGTTACTGGAAAACCACGAGTCACATGAGAGTTTACACGTGAAAAGTATTTTCATGTTGAATGTTTCCTGAGTGAAGAGATGCGTTATGAATTTTCCTGGCGGTTTATTAAGTTTCATTTGTACTGATCCACCAGGTGGCGCCAGAGCAGAGTCTTCATCCCTCAGGTGAGCTCACCTTTACCTGAAGAGAACAGGAAGTCATTCTTCCTTAGATCAGCAGGAAGAGAAGGAGAGAGAGAGAGATGGCAGCGTGTAGGAGCTCAGCGCTCAGCCCTGGTGAGTTTTCTCTTGTTCT